TTTGTGCTCAAAAATCCGAACCAACCTCCAAACCCAAAACCTAGATCTAATTTTTGTGTGAAAGATGAGTTCAAGTCCAAACATGGTTCCTATAGTTATTTACTACAATGGGAGGCATTTTGAAGGTCCGAACGGTGTCCGATTTGAAGGAAAAACAAAAACGATGAAAATCAAAGTGGGCACTACATGCAATGAACTGAAGGAGAGAATTCTTCAAAAAATGGGGTCAGAAGGCATCCATTCCATCCACCGCATGATGGCCAGGTTAGAGACTGTAGTGGATATGGATACAATATACTACATTGGTAACGATATAAATGATGATGAAGATGTGGAGTTCGTAACAGATGCGTTTGTTGAATGGAAAGTATTAAAATATATTGAGATATATGTTGAAGTTGATGCTGGTCAATCTCATCTTTACCGGTGCATACAACCACTACTGCACATTGTACCGGTCAAGAAGATACAGTTGTACGATCTTCTGCACCTCCTCAGGTAGCATTGGATGAGGATGAAGAGGATGAAGACGAGGACTATGTGGACAGCGAAGATGAGGGAGAACCTGGAAGTGCTATTCCAGAAGGTGATTCGTCAGACACTGACGTGGAGGGAAATTTTGAGGCTGACACGAGCGCCGTATGTCTGGGTACCCCAGCCTTGTCACCACTTCATGTCGACCCAGTCAGTAGTGGTAAGTTATTAAATTTGAACATTTGTTTTAGACAATTTATTATTTGTGGTGGTATTCATTCAGACAAATGAGAGTTGATCTTTAGATGCTGGGACTGAGGTGGAGCCATTCTGGAATGAAAGCCAACATTATTCATTCATTAACTGGGCGCACCCTAATGACGAGCTGGAGATCCTATATGGCGATGATGACTTGCACGGAGGTTGGAAGTTAGGAGATCCGTTATTTGTGCAACAAGAATTTGGGTCCAAACCAGAATTGCAACATGCTGTGAAGATACATTGTATGAAGGGGCGTAGGACAACCATAGTCGAAAAAAGCGACGAGTCAAGATTTGTTATGAAGTGTAAAAACCATGGTGACGGTTGTCCCTGGTACCTGAGGGCAATCAAGCCGAAGAAGGGAGCTAATTGGGTGGTTCGTAAATGGGGTGAAGATCACATATGCCTGAACCAGGGCCTGTCACAGGATCATAGACAGTTGGATTCAGATTTTATTTGTGCGACTATAATGAGTATGTATTCTACTGTCTACTTAGTGGAAATTCTTATTGAGAATATGGTAAAGTTGTGTTTTTTTTTTTACAGATATGTTAAAGGAAGATCCATCTACAAAACCCGCTCTGATTCAAGAGAGAATACAGGGAATATATGGATACAACATATCGTACAGGAAGGCCTGGAAGGCAAAAATGAAGGCCATTGTTAAGCTGTATGGTGAGTGGGAGAAATCGTATGGATTCTTGCCAAATTGGCTGACGTATATGACGCAAGTGAATGTGGGTTCTGTGTTCAAACTTGATACAAATCAATGTTTTGATGAACGTCGGGTTTATACAGACAGGGCCGTATTTCACAGGGTTTTTTGGACATTTCACCAATGCATTGAAGCATTCAAATACTGCAAGCCTATAATTCAAATTGACGGCACTCATCTGTATGGGAAGTACAGAGGTACTCTCTTGATTGCAACATCTCAGGATGAAGATGGATTTCTGCTCCCTATTGCCTTTGCTGTTGTTCCTCCAGGTGAGAGGTTGGATGATTGGTCTTGGTTTCTTAGCCTTTTACGTTTTCATGTTACACATAGGCATGGTATTTGTCTAATATCCGATCGTCATCGAAGCATCATAAGGGCGGTGAAAGATCACAGAGGGTGGCAGCCTCCATATGCTTATCATGTATTTTGTCTACGTCACATCGGAAGCAACTTCAATACCCGTTTTAGGAATGTGGAATTGAAGAAAACGTTGATGAAATTAGGTAATGTACGATATAATTACTCACATTTTCAACCATTTGAAGAAAACATTGATGAAATTCACTAACCAATTGCATATGTCATGGTTGTTTTGCAGGGTACACATGTTCAAAGATAAATTTCGACATTAGATATAAGGAATTTATCGAGAACAATCCTGAAGTTGCTTCATGGTTGGATGCGATTCCGAAAGAGCAATGGTGCAGGTCGTATGATGAGACAGGACGTAGGTTTGGTCATATGACAACCAACCTATCTGAGTGTGTGAATAAGGTGCTTCGTGGAGCACGTAATCTGCCTATAACTGCATTGGTCAAGATGACATTCAGTAGACTCGTTGAGTATTTCGTCAAGAGACGTGAAGGGATTGAAAAAGATATCTCACAAGGTTGGATAATTTCAAAGAAGGTTGAGGCAGCTTTGCAAAAAAATGATGAATTGGCCGGCACTTATCGTGTGAGGATATATGATAGTGAGCTGTTATTGTTTGAGGTTGAGGATGCCTACAATCAATCTACACACGAGGTTGGTGACACCATGAGAGTGGACTTAATCAATCGTACATGTCAGTGTGGTAGGTTTACAGCAAGGAGGTATCCCTGCAGTCATGTATTAGCAGTTTGCAAGGTAGCCAAGTTAAACCATTATGATTATGTGGATCATGTTTTCAAAATCCCAACCATTGCTAAAGTATATGCTGCACACTGGTTTCCTATTGGCAATGAATTGTTGATTCCATCCGTTGTTGGGCCTACTGTAATTCCGGATGCCCGGTTGGTACGTGCAAAAGGAAGACCACAGTCTTCAAGGATTCAGAATGAGATGGATTGGGTTGAGTCTCAACCCTCGAGCAGTCAGAGCAGATGTAAGCTTTGCAAGCAAGTTGGACATAACATTCGTACATGTCCATTGAGACTAAGACAAGCATGATTACGTATTGTTTCTGTGTAGTACTTTGTTTTGTAATGACAATCACTTTACGTATTGTTTTGTTTCCTTGTACCCTAAACTTTATCTTGTATTAGTTATGTATTGTGTTGTTGAAATGTATTGTTGAACTGTATTCTTGTGTTGCATAACGTAAATGTTGACATCCGTTAAGTTTAGCGAGTCACTCGTTCCGTATTGTGCAAATGTCTACCATACCCATTTACCTCTTCCCCGAGTCAGTTAAGGTTATTGTATTACACATCAATTCAAAAGATGCAAAAAAAATGGATTGAACAGCAGCTGCTGCTGCATAATCAACTGGTCTACCCGGGTAACTCGTAATGATATACCCGAGTACAACCTACCCGGGTACACCAGTTCGTGGTACCCGGGTAGACCAGTTGTTAATGCAGTTGCAGCTTGTGTTTTGGCCATTTTTTTAGCATTTTTTGAATTGTTGTGTAATACCTACATACAATATGACTTGGGGGTGGATTGATTTCGTAGAAATAGGATGCCGGAATCATGATGTGCGCCAATCAATGTTGAACATCCATATTAAAGTACTTTGGGTTGAATTGTTTTCCAAATTACATATGACAATATTAATGCATAACCAACAAGTCTGAACATGCGCAAAACGAAAATTTCATTCATTCAAATATTGAACATCCAGTACAAAAAGATCTATGCAATGTAGGTAAAGTTCCTAAATGTACCAAAATGACTACATTACATCCAAAATGGTCACCCTTGCCAACTAAATCAATGATATGAAACCCTATGGACACACTAATCCGATTGCGTGTCATCCCCATTCTCATCATCCGATTGTGTGTCGTCCCCATTGTCATCCTCCTGAGTATGGGCACCCTCGCCAACTAAACCCTCCAAGCGTGTAACCCTTGTGTCCAACCGTGCAACCCTTGTGTCCATCTGGTTCCGCCACTTGCTCGTGCTCTGTCTATATCCTCTAAAGTCAGTAGTCAGATCATTTATGGATGCCATGACATGATCAAGTGTCCATCCACCCTCAGGAGGAGCTGGTGGTCGCCGACTGCGGGTGGGACGTGTCTGTCTGACATCAACCTCAGCAACGCCATCATCATCGTCATCATCATCAAGGCCTGCATCATAAACCATGAAAAGCACATCTTATAAATACCACATTAAAAAATAAACAACACAAAAATGCATAAACTCATAAACACCAAAACATCACCTGCAGGTGCATCCTCCATCTCAGCATCGTGGTGGACTGGGATCTCAGGTGGTTCTGGTGCCTTCTTCCACGTCCAGATACCCGCTCTGTTCGACAGGATCCCACACTGCTTCAGGAGCCTCTCACCAAATATAGCATTCCAGCCTCTGGCGGTCTTCAAGGTCTCTCTGTTGCCATAGGCACTCCAAATCTATGCAGAATCTTCTGCACTAGGAATGCAAAAGGCAATTCAGCCTTCTTTGACTTGGCTGCCTTCCACATCAGTATGCATATATAATGCCTCCAGTTCACTTGCTGACGGAGAAGGAGGGCCCACAGGATGACAAAGTCCCCTTCCAGCACCTTCGAGTGATTATGCGGGCGCTGGAAAATAATATGTGTCACCACATAATGAAGAATGCGAGCAGAAACTGACAAGTTGCTCACAGGATAATGAGCAAAATGTCCGGGCTCAGCGTCTGCTCTCCTAGTCTCTGTAACAATGGCCTCCCGGTTATAATCACCAAATATATGATGGCTGTCTCCATCATATAGTGCTGCTCCTGTGACACCATCAAAATCGAACCCCAGTAGCTCCGTCCAGATAGGAGCAGTCATGATGATATTAATCCCGCAGACACGGGAAGTCAGCTCGCCTTGCGAGTAGCCAAGGTTCTGGTAGAAGGCTCTTACCATAACCTCCGAGTATGGGCACCGCATCTCCGCCAGGTCAAGTAAATGTGTCTCCTGAAGAAGCGGCACAATGTCGAAATGCTCTAGGTTGAAGAATGCCGAATCCAGTGATTTCGGTTCGCAGATCTTCCGGGTCATGAAAAACTTCACGAACGTCTCGTGTGCAAGTATGTCATCCTCAAACAAATATCCAAACTTCAAGTCCGGAGCCTGACTCGAAGCAGCCTGGGGCTGAGAGGATGAAGACCCATCGTGACGACTCTTGGTTCTTTTCTCGGAATGGGTCACTGGCAGCTTTGAAACGCATCTAGAGGTCATTGCGTTACACTATTAAACTGAAAAAATAACCAAAATCAGAAATTAGATACATACATGTTAGGGTTAGAGTTAGGGTTAGGGTAAGGGTATGACATACAAATTGATAAAATAATTCGGACAGAATCAAATGATATAAACGAAAATACAATGAATCAGAACAGAAATCAGAACAGAATTGAAAAAAACGAAAAAAAAATGCACCTTAGATCGATTTCAATCGGTAGAAGGCAGATAGGTTGCAAGGTCCACGAATGATGATCAGAAACAAGACAAATTGGTGCAAGATTATGCCTGAAATCGCTCAAGAAGACACACCTCCAGCAGCTCTACCCGGGTACCCCTTTGTGGGTTTTCGAAATGGGGCTGTTGGGGTATTTAAAAACCCTACCGTCGATGTTTACCCGGGTACACTCCTCCCTACCCGGGTAAATAATTCAACCATTTTCCCAGATTCAAGAACTTGTACCCGGGTAGAAATTTTTTTTCAAAAAATACCCGGGTAGGTAAGGGTGTACCCGGGTAGGCTTCGTGGTCAACGGTCAAACAGGGGCAGATTGGTGTTATGTTTTTGAGAGGGGTTAAATTTTCGAAATAGTTTTAAATGAAGGGCAATTTGGTAATTAATTATTAATTAAGGGTCATAAGGGTCAAAAAGCCATATAATATGAGATAAACTAATTTGAAATAGAAATAATAGTAAGATAAATTAAATTGATAAAGAAAAGTCAAACCAATTAATTCTATTAATTTGGTGTTGTAACATTCCTTTCCCCAACAAGAAACAACTTGTCCTCAAGTTGAGTAATATCCAATGCTTGCTCATCTTCCCAACTAGAGTTTTCAGGTGCAAGGTCCTGTCTATGAATCATAACTTGTCAAAATTGTTAGCGGCCTATGAATAGGGCAATATCAAGTCATCCTCCGCATTGCAAAGACCTTCCAAATATAAATGGGTTGGACGACTTCTCGTCACAATTGAAGCATAGTCCTTTGTCATGTCGTGGTTGCATCTCTTCGTTTGTCAAACATTTGATAGGAACTAGGGATTGAGAGACAGTAGGGGTTGCCAGGCGTGGTGTTGTTGAGGGCGATGGTTAAAGTGACCAATTGTTGAGGTGTGGCTCGTTGTGCTGAGACTTATACATGTGTTCCAATGCGAATGCATTATGCAAGTACACAGACCAATGAGCTTGGGCAACCATGTTCGCACAGAGTTGCAAGCTAGTGATAAACTAGCTGCGTAAATGCTCTTGAGAAAGACCATACAGTTGGCAAGTTTAATGAAGGTAGCTTGGTAATCAAGGACACAACTAGTCTAAAGATAGCTTGGCAAGGAGGGTGGTGGTATCCTTATATTCGGCACGACCAAAGTGGTGATGGATGGCACAGACAAATGTGTCCCAATTGGGCAAGAGTTTTTTAGCATTCAAACCCTTGTATCAAGTGTCCACAAGTGCATTGAGATGCATTGCAGTCAACAATAGTTGATCGTCTGGGTGAGTATGATAATATTGAAAATAGTGGTTAACATTGAACAACCAAATAGATGGGTCCTTAGAAGAGAATCATGGAAACATAAGGATTTATGATAGGCTATGCGACTTTGTCACTCTCGTCTATAATGATGGTTGTTTGTGGTCTTTGGCCTAGAATGCCACTTGCTGAATGGGTGGGAGAGAGAGGATTGGTGGTGAATTTTAGTCGAAGTGTTGCAACAAGATGCTAGTCGTATTGGTTCGATAGTTCCATGAACCTTTCAGTGGTCATTTAGATTCAAGGAAAAATTGGTGCAACCATGCCAATGGTGGTAGCCATGTTAATGGCTGGTTGTTGTAGTGTTGTTTAAGTTTTTTCCACCTTCAAGCCTCAAAACCTCTTGAATCTTTTTGTCATGCACCAAGGTGTTCATGTATACTCTAGGTGCAAAAACATTCCTAAAAGTGGCTAAGGAAGATTCTATTTACATCTTCGTAGGTATCAATTAGCATTTAATAGCTTCCATTAATAAAAATAATTGGATTGTTATCAATTAGTCCCAATTAGTATCAATTTGCATTTGCTAGCTTCGTTGAATAAAATATGGATATCAATAGATTGGTATCAATTAGTCCAAATTAGTAAAAATTACGTTTTAAGTACTTCAAATCCTTATAATTTGCTGTTAAAAAATCCTCAATGGTTAGATGGAAGAAGCATGCAATTACTTTTTTCCAATCATTCTCTCATCCTATCCTCTATATCTCCCTTATGTGTCTCTTCCCTATTTGGAATTTTTCCCTTCTACTCTTACCCTTTACAATTGGTGCTTTGTCGACTCTTGCCTCCACCTTACTAGCAACCTTTTTTCAAGTGCACGAGGTTCAATTGTAAGTGGTGCAACAACTAGTCAGTGCAGCAGCAGCTACCGCTGAAATTTTTTCCCAAGATTTCCTGGACTTTCAATCCAATCAAGTGACAATAGAAAGTTTCATGGCCTTAATGAGCAAGCATGATCAACACCTTTCTGCCTCCTTCTGACAAGAGCTACCATCACTTTCACTATTGTCGACTTATCCATTGTCGGGCATTGCTGGTAGAGTTCCACACAAGTCCCCACCTTCGGACAACACGCCAATACATGGACATACTCTTCGCCTCACGTTTTTGAGTTTTTCCTTGGGTGACCTGACCATGACTTTTGTTGCGACTTCGACAAGTGCACCGATCGTAAAAGTAATAAAAGTGTATGTGAGTACGAGATCGTTCCCACAAGGATTAGATTTTAAGCACTAGTTCATTATTCACGTTTTATTTGGACAAACAATTATGAGAACTTTGAATTAAAACTAAGATTGATCAAAAGTATAAGAATTCAAAATTAAAACGCAAGCAATTAAAAAGAGAGTGTTTTGACAACCAAGAGAAAACGTAGTTAGGGTTTCGATTTCCCCTAATATCCTTCTTATGTTATGAATTAAATTGTTAAGTGATTGTCCTTAATATATTGCCAATCGATTCTTTTAATTTAATTAAGGCTCAATCCCTTGTTACCCTAATTCTATGTGATCTTGAAAGAACCCTATTTCCTCGGTTATTCCTCAAGAAAACATGCATTAAGTTCAAGAATCTAAAGATTGCATAATTACCCTGTATCTATTTCTAGATCACATGGATTATGATGAATTTATCAATTCAACATTCATGCACCACTATCCTTATTGTCATACAATTTCCCTATATCAATCTACAAGAAGCAAACTCATAGAAAGCTTTAATAATAGATAAATTCATTCAATTATAAAAAGAAAAAATTACAGAGACAATTTAATCCATAAACATAAGAATTCAATTGGGTTCCATCTACACCTAACTACATAAAAATCTAGCCTAGCATAGCGAAATCAAAGACAAAAGAAAGTAAAGAAAATGCCCCAAACTTTATTGGTGTGATAGCGTGATGAATCCTCAAAACTCCCAGCGTATTCTTGAAAACAATCGGCTCCCGATGCTCCAAAGTATGAAAGACGCGCTTCTATGACCAAAGTAGGATTCCTTAATCAGAATTATCAAAAAGCTCTTTAATTGGTGTTGGAAATCTCCTTTTATAGGCAATTGGTTCGTGCCCTAAGTGGATTCACGAATTGGGCCTTAATTTGGATCGTGTTAGCGCGCTAAAGCACTGATTAGCGTGCTTTATAGTGTTGATAACGCCTTGTATCTATGCCAGAGCGCGCTTTAGGGCACTTTTTGAAAGGAAATTTCTTCATTACATCACGTGTTAGCGCGCTCATCTAGGGAATTTCATTGTTTCTGGGCAACTTGCGCGCTTTAGGGTGTTAAAGTGTGCTCTTCCAGGGCATTGTCTCTTTTTGCTTCATTAGTGCGCTGTAGGGCGCTAAAGCGCACTCTTCCAGTCTTTAATAATGTTATGGAATGCACTTTGTGGACTTCCTTTGATCTTCAACCTTCTCCTCTAAGTCCTTTACTTCATTTTTACCCAATTTTATGTTAATTCACTTTCAAAGCACACAAGAACAGTTTATGTTAGCTCAAAATCCAACTTTCATGCTTTTTCACAATAAAACCTAAGTTTTCATGCATTTGATTGTGTAATTCATGTACTATTAGCCCTAAAACATGATAAACCATAGGTTTATCAACTTTTTAATGTACACCGCTCTTTTTAGTGTTATCACATGCACCCAAAGGATCGATTGCTGCTAACCACTGCACTATGGCCATTTGGTACCAAGGTATGGCAACCGATAACCTTTTGCTCAATTAGGACACATTAATCCTTACCATACTTTGCCGTTTTGGTCCCTCCAAGTTACAGGATACCACCACCCTCCTTGCCAAGCTGTCTCAAATGAGCTCTATCCTCGATAACCAAGCCACCTCAAGAACCTTGCCAGCCAACTTGGACTCTCTGAAGAGCATTTCCACAACTTGTTTATATCTAGCTTACAACTCCAAGTGCGCATGGTGGTCCAAGCTCCTCGTCCTTGACTTGCATGACGCATTCATGTTGGCATGGATGTATGAGTCTCAACTCAGCGAGTCGCACCTCAACAACTTGCAATTTCAATTGTTGCCCTCTGCAACACCAAGCCTAGCAACCCTTATCATTGCCTATCCCCCTTTCACACGGCGTCCTATGTAATGTCTGGCGGATGTAGGCATGACAAAGGACTATAGTTCAAATACGTTAAGAAGTTCATCCACAAGCACAGATGCAAAAGCTGCCTGGCCCTTTTATATTTAGAGGGTCTTTGCAATATGGAGGACAACTTGCTATAGCTCGAGCCTCTCGAATCAGATTTAGCTGACCAATTTCCAGACTGCTTGTTATTATTGCCCGACAAGTTATTATGAGAGGTACTCAACAAGTCTTGCAAGTATTGATTAGGACCCTGCACTCGAGGACTCTAGTTCGGAAGATGAGCAAGCATTGGATATTATTCAACTTGAGGACAACTCAATGAGTTACGTGTTGATGGGGGGAGTGTAATGTTATGCACCAATGTCTTCGTGTCGCTCTAGGCACAAAAAAATTCCTAAAAGTGGCAAGGGAAAATTCTAACCACATGTTCATTGGTGTCAATTGGCATTTACTGATTGGTATTTATTAGTATCAATTAGCATTCGTTTGCTTCCATTAATAAAATATTGGTATCAATTAGTCCATATTAATATCAATTGCCTTTTTTGTATTTCAAGTCCTTTTAATATGCTATTATAAAAGCCATAATGGCTTGATGGAATATGCAAGCAATTACTTTCTTACGATCATTTTCTCATTCTTTCCTCTATTCTCCCTTCTTCTCTGTCTCTCCCTCAGGGATTTTGGCATTCTACTATTACCCTTAAAAACGTTGATTAAATGCTTCAACTAGATTTTAATTCAAATATCTCTTGATAATAACCTACAATACATGCATGTGGTCAGTTAAGGTTGTTATGGGATGTATAAAACAAAAATGTTTCTTCCTACATTCTAAGAGCACAAAAATGGAAATACTGCAGTTGTTTATTCACCAAAGGATTAATCTGATAAGTACAAGAGACACCGCTTATACTATATTGATAACAGTATCTATTATACTATTTGGAACTAATCTTCCCGATTATGAGTCTAGTTATTTCATAATTTCTTTCATTGTTTAAAATGACGAGCTAGTCATTTTATCTTACTTTAAGCTTCGAAATGGATAAGGGCTATTTGAGATCTACCATATTTAGTATTTGGAAGGGATGGGTGGGTTCTATATCTAAGGAAGTTCTTGGTTTGAAACTACTGTTCTTGTCAATTTGGTTGCAAAACAAAGCAAAACATGGTATTACTGTTAATAGCTAAACTGGTATAAAAGCTTATGCTTGTTCTCCTTAGTAATGTTTTTTAATGTAGCTTACTAGCCATGCATTGAAAGCAGTAAATGTGATGATTGTTCAACTGTATGTAGACTTCCTTATTTACTGCAGAAGCTGAGACAATTTTCTTTTACCCTTCTTACAAAATTTCATGTCATTTGGTTTATGCTACTTTCACAAATGCCTTTTCAATGCTTTAATATGGTAATGCAGCTTTAATGGTGAACCGGATATCGTGTGATAGCGACTCTGATAAGTCATTGGTGCAGCAACTCACTTCAGACACTATAATTGAGGTAGAACTCTAGTTTTCTACCATTTTGTGTTTTTTTATTTCAGACATTTCAGTTAAAATTGTCTTTGGATTGCAATGTGGAATCCAGGTAAGCATTGAAATTCCTTTTGCTTTCCAAGCAATACCAAAGCAAGCAATTGAATCGGCTGGGACTCAAGTCCTTGAACAAATACTCAGGATTATGCTTCCCCGGTTTATGTCACAGGTTTGTTGAAGCTTAATATATTATTTACAAATTCAAATTTTTAAGGTTTTTATTATTTATTTTAATAAAAGAAGAAATTCGCCTAACAAAATGAAACAAAGTACAAAGATATGGGAGGATAAGGATTCCTCCTTAATGTAAGAACAAAATGCAAAACAACAAAGAAAGAAATCCATGGAGCTAAGCTACCCAATCCTTGACTTATCTGTTAGGGAATCCCCATTAAAAATGCCATGCTCTTTACACCAAATAAAAGCCCAATGCCTAATCTTGTCCCAAATCAAATGTTGTGCAATAGAAACCTTGAAATATGATAGTTATACACCGACCAAATGCACCAAAGTGTGGCAGGTTGCACATTGGGACAGAAATTTTACCTCTCTGCTTAAACAAAGCTATCAAAGCTAATAATCCTAAATTAGTCTAGGGACCCAGGACACACCCAACATTCAAAAAATTTGCTGAATGAGAATTTCCATAAAGACACAGCAACAGAACAATTTAAGAACATACGTGGAGCTGATTATGAGCAGGCAACACACATTATATACATCAGGGGGAAAAGTCTTATGCGGCCTACAAACTTGCATCATGTTGTTAGTATTAATTCTATTAAGCACTGTAGTCCAACTAAAAGACTTGACCTCAGAGGGAGTTTTGGACTTTCATAGGAGTATATCGAGAATGAAAGTAACCCTATTCAAAGAATAAGCAAGAAATTGGACAAAAACACCACAGAAGGGTCAAGGGACTTGTTCTGGACCAGTATTCTTGGCCCGCCACCTGGTCCTATATCCACGATCCCACACCACTAGAATCCCCATGAATAACCGCCTTTAGTCATCTCCAAGATCCACAATCTCCGCCATAATTCCACATGGCAACGGACAATATTCTCTTTCCTTTAAATGGACCTCTCATATACATGTTGACATTTTATACTCCACTTTAGTTAATGTACTGACTTGAACGTTGAAGTTTGTGTAAGTGAAAAACCACCTCGCCCACTGGAGCGCATGAAGGAGCCACACTCAACAACCATCAGATTGCCATAGAAGTAGATTCAAAAGCAACATCACAACTTATCTTGGTAACACACCTGATCAGGACTAAAACATTTTATTTAGGTTACAAAGTCAAGGGTAAGGCTGTTCTTTCATGACTGAAAGGTAATGGGTTCGAATCCAGGAAACAGCCTTTTTGCAATTATGCAAGGGTAAGGCTGCGTACAAGGATTACCTTCACCCCACACTCACTAGTCGGGTTTAACGGGAAGTGGATTTTTGGATTTTTTTTTTTTACAAAGTCAAGGACATCCAATAGGGACTCCAATTCAGAAAATTCCCTATTATTTAAGTTATGAAAAAATGGAAGTTACATGAAAAATTAGAATCTTGAATACTGTAAAATTGAGCACAGAATTGTATAGGGAAGAATGACATAAAGATGTGGAAAAGGATATCTAAAAGGGAAATCTCCTACCTGATAGTCCTCCCAAATGATGACATGTGAGCCCTTGCCCATCTTTAAGGGAAGCAAAATCATGGGGATGAATTTCCATGGACTAAATTGAGAGGATTGGATTGCGTTGTTGGTATCTAACTTTTATCTAAGCCATACTCACTTGAAATAACCTGATGCAGCTAATGAAGATGCGAAAGCCATTTACCAGTTAAGCGATGTTATTAGAACCAAATTTCCAAGGCCTAGAACCCCTACTTTGGAAAACAACACACCTTCCAACTCATTAGATGGCGATATATCATATTCACACTCCTAATATCATGCGACTTGATTTGATTCGTCCTCCATTTTAAAAATATAAGTTTGGCCCTCATTCTTTCAATTTGATTTGTCAGTTTAAGGATGTTAATTGATTCTAGAAATGGAAATCCCTTTGATATGAAATCCGAAAATAAAATATTGTTTCTTTTACGGATTGTGGTAAACTTTCATATACAATATGACTTTGGTGAAATAGATTTATACATTAGCAATGGTAGCATTATTGATTTTCTCATTTTAACATGAGTTCCTTGAGAATCTTCTTATAACTTTTTGCAGTATAGATTTTGCTCTTCCTGCCTCTTGCATTTTGACTTTTCCACTTTTTGCCAACTTTACTTTTATTTTTGGTTTGATCACTACATTTGATGAATAAGAAGTGGTTAATTATGTACTACCTAAGAACATTGAATTAAGGAATGGTGGTGTTGGTAAGACATAGTGACTGTAATTTGAGACAATCATTGCAGACAACATTCAACCACTGAATTTTTTCTGAAATGTGATGTGATTTTAACACAAAAATTCATTGCTTATTATAGTTTATCATATTGAACTTTTGATATTATGGTGTATCTATTTCACCATATGTGGCTACTTGCCAGTACATTTTATTGTTCTGGATTCTTACTGGATGATATGATGAAACTGCTATACCCTTCAGATTTGGAATATTGGGAAAATTCTTGAGGAGATTGCTCCTAGAGCTTTAATTGTTTTTGAACCATTTGATAACAACTTGGATGACATGAACCCTGTTTATTCATTTGCTCAAAAAGTTATATGCAAGCTTATGATATATGTTTTTTTGCTATTCTTGGTGTCAGTTGTTTCTTAGATTGCATTACATCCTTCTTGTCTCCTAAGTGATGCTATTAAATGAATTACTGCTGCATTAAGACAAGCTGCAAAGTTGCTGACAGAAAGTATTGCATTTTTTTTTTTTTTTGGAAATAAAGTATTGCATTTCAGGTCTCATTTTTGAACCTTTTTTTTCTTCCTGTTATTTGGGTTCTATGTGCATTCGAAGTTGAGATACTATGTCCAGAATTTCAAATATACTTTGGTTGACATTGGATTTTACTTTGCCGTCACTGCAACTGGTATTTTCTTGCGGTGTTTGTTACAGTATGCACGTGAGCTTGATTGTATACGACTTTACCTTCTAATTAGTAACTAACCTATTCATTTGATTATTATTATTATTATTATTATTTTTGAATATTATCCATCGATTTATCGATTACTCGACTAATCCGATTCGACCCGGATAAAAAGCCGACTAGTCCGGATCAATTATCTACATTATACAAATCTATGCAAATAATTTATAATGTATGGTGTTTTATGTAACAAAGTAGTGTTTTCAAATTTATAAAATTTGATTTATTTATGTAAGTTAATTTTTTTAAGCAGCTTGTGAAAGATTATCAAGCCTGGGCCTCCGGAGATATGTCAAGGCAGCCTATTGGGACTGGTGAAATCTGAAATAATGGGTAATAAGGATTGCCAACTGACGCTGGATTTAATAGTGTTAATAGATTATAGAAATACCGCTTGTAGTATGTGCATTAATGAATTCTTGGTTTATTATTTGAGTATACATAGTTTTTTTTGTTTGTTTATTTCTTTTTGGACAAGTAAATCATTGTCAGTTATGATATTTCAGTGATGATTGCTATTGATTGGTAATGCTAAAATTAAAAGGAATGTGAAAGATTGACGAATTTTGTACGTGGGTGATACTTGGTTTTGTGAGGAGGAAATTCAAGAGAGTGAAAAAGGACCTCCACTGGGGACCTTGATAGTTCATATTGGAGTCTCTACATAGCAGCAGTATTATTATTTATTGTTTTGTGGATAACTATGTAAATGGTATATGTTAATTATGTAAATAAGGTAGTCAAGATCATGTAATTATGGTAAATGGAATAGTACTGATATTTGTAATTATTATTTTTGGCTATATAATGTGGATACTGTTATGTAGTGGAGAAACAAATTTAATCGTGTCTCGTATAACACATCGTATTTCTAAATGTATAATTATATGTGATAATGTGGATTAGAGGGGAAGGACTAGTGAAAATCTTAAAATTAAGGTCAAAATATGTAAAAAGGGCAAAATGGTAATTTACTAAACACGTAATCCTAGGCATGAAAAATTAAGTAGAAGGTTTCAAATGGTAAAAATAATGTCAGAAATGGATTCAGGACGAAAAATCGGGTGGATAGGCAAGTTTTGAAAAATTTGATGAATAGTGATTTTTCTGGTATAAAATACTGCTATATAATTGTACCGATAAGCGCAAAAATAAGATCAGTATTTTTAGGAAGTAAAAATATGACGTGAACGAAAAAAATACGTAGATTATGAATTTGTGGATTAAATTGGGTGATTTAAGAAAGTTAAGTGACATGTAGGATACACTTAAGTGACTTAAGTGGATAAAGTGACTTGAAATCGGATTTTCCTCCCATTTTCTCTCTTCTTCTTCTCCTTCTTCCCGTGGAAGTCTTGGCATTTGTTGTGGTTTGAGCTCTTTGAACTACAACTCTCTTTTCTAGCCGTTTTTGAGAGAAACTTCCAACTACAAAGTTGTTCCTCTTGAGATTGTGAGTGATTTTCATATGGAGTGCACCTTGTGGGGATCATTGTGGGAGGCGATATACCCCATTTACAGCCACAAAAATATTGGTAATTTTGGAAAATTTGGGGACTTTTTGTGTTGAACCATTGGTTGGAGATCATTCCCTTGGACCATTGGAAGCTATTGGTGGTAAGTTTTCTCATTCTCATTGAGTTTTTCATGAGATCATAAAATTAGTGAGGGTTTTGATGATGTGTGTTTAGTTATGGCAGTTAGGAGCATTAAATAGTATATCTCCTTTGGAATTAAATGCTTAGAATAATAAATGATGATGATTGATATAATAAAAATTATTGTGATTTGAAAATTGTAACGTAGTAAAATTTTGAGTTGAACTTCATTACTTTGTGAAGTTGGTATGTTGTGTAATTGTGAAATTGAGTGGTGGAGTAATTGGAGGGGTTAATTAAAAGATTGTATGATGTGTAGAAGTCTTGGAATAGATTGAAAATCTTTTGGGACCCTAGCATGAAGAATTCAACCTATTGAGGTCATGAATGGTTTGATGATGTAAAAGTGGTATAAATGATGTTGTAAGATTGTGGATGGTGTTTATATGGATGGTAGGTTGATGTGTTGTTGTGGAATGGAAGGAAGAATTTGGTATATATATGTATGTGTGGAAATTTGACCTATAGGAAAGTTAAGGAAAAATAAATGAAAAATAGCCCTTTGGCCTAAGTGAGTAGGTTTGGGTATTGTATTGTGAAAGTGAATTGATTTCCTTGAAATTGTATTAATGATCATTGTTGTTTGATCATTATAGGTTTCCTCTCATGGACTGAATAGAGGAGAATTAAGCTTGGAGCTTACGTTGAGGAGCATTATCTTCAGAGTTGAGGTAAACCTTTGGAACTTGGGTTTAATCACTTGTGTGCTCCACCACACCTAGTGGAAGGTTGTGGTTGGATTTTGTGTTTTTGACATTGTGTGATTATGTATGTTCATGCATTGTTGCTTGTTTGAGTGAAATATTTGTGATCTCTGGCCAGTAGATGTGTGTGGTTTGGACTTCCACTGGAGATATCCTTTGGGGATTCCGGTCGGGTTTTGCCATGAGGCCGACTCTGGGGGAGGCACTAGGATGATCCAAACGTGGGACTTCCGCTGGATAGGGCTCATGAGGAGTTCCAGTTGAGTTTTTCCATTGGGTCGTCTCATCCATGGGAGAGGCACCAGGAAGCTTCCCGGGAGTTATATAATGGGGTCCTTGAACGAAATCCTTATGTGGATATTCTTGGATTTGTGCCCAGTTGTTTGGTGATTTTGTATGTTATGCATTTTACATGATGTTATTGTTGCACTTTGAGTGAGCCATGGGGTGGAGTGATCCTCTAGTACCCTTGGTTTACTGAGATATATTTGTATATCTCACCCCGCGTTTGGGGACATCATTTTAGGTTATTGTGAGCATGGAGGACAATCGGGCAAGAGGCCCGCTTAGTGGAGGAGTTGGATCATGATGTGCATAAGGATAGCATAACATTTCAGAGGAGTTTAGTTGATGCACATAGTATGACATTTAGCATTTTGAGACTTAGATCATGAACATATTGCATGTTGAGATTTCCATGCTTTTATGGTGTTCATGACTAGATTCTAAGTCTATGTAGTTGATGTACATTTATGCCTCTTGTTTATAGTTGTATTTTGATGAGCATGAGACTTGTCCATGGCCACATATTTTGTGTTTTGAGGCATTTAGAGTCTTATGATGTAAAGTGACCATTTGACGTTTAAATGGCTTTGGAATTGGAAAATATTGTAATTGATGCATTACATAATGAATATGCATGATGGAAGGGCCTAGAGCCTACATTAGTAATGGTACATAGGTTATAGTAAGTATTAAAGTGATAAGAATGAAATCATGGATCCCTTTTGAAGTGAAAAAGCTGTCAAAACTGGTTTTTCACAGTAGGGAATCGATTCCCTACTGTTGGGAATCGATTCCCTGTGATAGAGCACGTGAATTTCAGCCACTGTGAGGGCTGAGAATCGATTCCTAAAAACAGGGGAGCCATTTTGTATCTTCTGTCTGTTTCTGTAACTGCTAGGAATCGATTCCTGGCTATTGTGAATCGATTCCCACTGTGAAATTTTTGAAAAATTGTCATTTTATAACCTAGAGTTAATGGTATTGCTTAGTGGGGTTATAATAAATAAGTTTTATGCTTCCGCAAGTTTTGCATTTACAATTACGGTGTTATTTTTAATTGATTACGGAAATGGTTAATGTTTAAAGAAAAGAATGTAATAAAAGAAAAAGTTTACCCGTAATTTAATTAACTCAATTACTGTGATTGTAACTGCACTTAATATTATATGTAATGATAACATTGCCGATACGTAACGGGCTGTTACATTTTATAGTATCAGAGCAGTTTTTTAGGGAACTCTGATTATTGTATGCTTGTGTTAAGTGCTGTATAGTTGTATGTAGACTCTTATTGATTACTTCATATGTGATTCCTTAATGTGGGTCTGATATGCCCATTTCTTTGTGTTATATATGTGGTAATCATAAGAAGCCTGCGTGGCAACCCTGGAGCACCTAATGCCAGTCCTTAGACTGAGGTTGTGGTTGCAGTGTTGACTGCTCCACGGACAGAGACGTTGTAAGTAAATTATATGTAGTTGAGGACTTAGTGAGAATAATTTGGAGGTATGTCTAACCCTTTTAGGTAGAATGCTACCATAGTTGGATTTGCGGTTGTATGGTTAGTAAGTATAATTGAAATGAGTTGATATCATGATGATAATGTGGGTGAATATTCCCTATATATGTGTAGTTAAAATAATTAGATACACATGGAATTAGTCGTCGGACTCTGACATGGTAGGTGACTTGGAAACCCGATGAATTCTTGAAAATTTGAATAAGTATGCTTATATGTCAGCTTAGGTACATTGAGGTTAGATAAGAAGGTTATAAGTCCCTAGCGAAGGGCATACATGTTATGAATTGAGATGTTCAGATGTAGAAATAAATTGAATCTTCGAAATTTGAGTTTGAGGAACGTGAGTACCTTGGAATGACTATGACAGTGACGTGTTAGGTACATTAATGTTGGAATATGGAATTTCAGTCCACTATGATGTAATATTGATTGACCTAAGTAAGGGTATTATGATGTGCTTTGAGTACAATGGAAGAAGTTAGAAAATTGCCATGGATGGCATTGGACAAGGTTCATTGAGAGTATGATTGTCCATAATGGAATAATGGTTTAACCTGACAGATATGCCATGAAGGAAGCGGATGAGATATAAGGAATTATGACTAAATATGATGTACTACTAGTGGTAGTGTGCTTTTATAATGTCTGTTGGTTTGAAACTTTGTTATGATGTAACATGCTTATACATATGTGCATTAATGTGTTGGATTTTCACTACGAATGACTCCTTTGCGTAGGACAAGTGGCATGATGTTTAAGAGAATTAATCCACGATGGACGCCTCTTGGAAATCCAAATAGATGAATTTTGTATTTTGAAATGGCTGGATTGCCAATGGTTATTTGTAAAAGATATTGGATAATACTTCAGTGATGGCCTAAGTGCCAATATATATATACATTTTGGGACGACCGGAGCGCCTAAATATCCATGTGGAAATAAATTATTAAATTCTTTGGTGATAAGACAATGAGGTCGAATGGAATCCCCTATGATGGGAAGTATCTGAAGAGGTTGTTTCTCTGGAGTGTCATTAGACGCTCAACTGGTATAGGATTCATTAACGTGACTAATGAAATTGTCCTGGGCTTCCTTTTGGGGATTGGATCCTAAGAGGTGGGACTCTTGGAAGTTCCAGTTGGACACCGCTTAAATTTGGGCTTGTCGGATGATCTTTGTACGCGGATAGTGGAAACTTGTAAATGATGGCACTCCTCATGTCATAGTGAAGTATTGACAGACAAAATGGTGGTATTTTCAATGAAATAGACATTTTACATTCACCAAGAGGAGGAGTGATCGAGAAAATTGATGGGTTGCTCTACAGTGTT